TGACTGGAAAATATGAAAAAATAATCAGAGAATTGTTTTAAATATATTTAACTAAACATCAAAACTTTTTCCCCCCAAGTATTTATTTCATGAAAATATGCCCAAGTTATGTTAAGGTACTTTAACTACTGGAGACTTATAAAGACCATGACTATTTTATACATATACCTTGAGACAAAAAATTCTCCCTTAGATGATATAAAAGTCTTATGAACAACCTGGGGACCATCTCTTTAGCTATTGCCATGAGCTCTGCTGGAGCCTCTGGGTCAGACTTATTTTCTCTACGCTCCCCATGACGTGGACAAAATCTGTGGGCAAAAAAAAAATTGTTACATTACTCATACACATAATATATTAAAATTTGAATTTCATAGGTCACCAAAGAATGAAAATGCACCACATCTGTCCCTATTTGCTATTAAAGATGCATAAAGGAGGGCAAAAAAGGTAAAGAAGAAATGGTGGGTTAAATAAAAATTCTTAATAGCACTAAAGAAGTTGCATTTCTTGTCTTTCTTTTAAGTAACTACAATGAAACACAAATTCTTTGTGGCCAAAAGTAAATCAATGGTTAATGTGTCATCAGATTAATAAATATGAAAGCAACATAATTTAATTAGTTCATTACCCTTCAGGCTTCATGACACTGGCGTCTCCACAGTCACAAGCTCCCCCCGCTTGGCTACGAAACATGTTGTAGTCGTGACCCTCGTGGTTGCCGGCTTGGAAGCAGTCAGAGCAAATAGACATACAAGGGGAAATTCCACAAGTTCGGCAGCGGTATGCAACAAAGTTTGCAGTCCACACAAGGCCGCACATAACAGAGCTATCATAGTCTCTAACTAATGGGCAGAATAAGTTTGGTAAAAAAAAATTAATAAGTAGCATTTGATAATCGTGTAGGTATACATTTTTGTAAATAATTTTCCAACAGCTGATAAAAACAAAGATTAAATTTTATGAATTAACTCAAATAGTAATGAACACAAGCAACATATATATAGGTATTTTTTTTATTAACGCTTTAGTCTAAAATTAAGCTGAACCAAAGTCTGCAGCGCAATTTTAAGAAGTATTATTAAATTAATTATTGTAAAATGATTTATAGGAAATCCATTTTAATCTGCTATTTATACTTTTTAAAGTAAATTATGTTCATTTATGGGTTAAGGGTAGCCGGGATTAAAAAAGGATCCCCTACATCTCATTCTTTAATTACATTACATCCTTCCATTCTAAAAAACAATAATAATAATAGTATTAGTTTTAATAGGTAGGGTATAACTTAGTATAACACGTTTAGAGTCGTGCATATACTCATTACCTACTTTGTTACAATCCCACAAAAACATCCAGGATTCTATTCAAATCATCTAGATTTACATATGCCTAACATGTAGGTTTAGAGTAGGGGTGTGCCGGACCCCGGTCCGGAATCCGGTTCCGCCGGATTTTGCACTATCCGGTGAAATCCGGTTCCGCCGGATTTACATGTATCCGGAACAACCGGTTTCCGGAATCCGGAATATACCGGATTTCGGAATTTGCCAGATTTTGTGACTCACCGGATCATAATCTGAAATAAAAGTAATTCTCTTTCCCGAATTTCACACGATCACGATACATTAATCGATTGTTTCGAGCGTTGAGCTTGTTTAATGTTTAATATTCCGTACATACCAGAGGCTAGAGTCAGCACCGCTAATAGTGGCCAATAGTGTAGGGACTTTGATAAGAAAATTTAAACTTTTTGTAAAAATAAACCAATGGCATAGTTGAAAAGATGTAATTTTTTAAAGAATTATAACACCAAAATCATATTTTTAGCTGTTGTAGTTTTAAAGTTATGAATTTTTAAAGTACGACTTGGTTTGTCATTTTTTAACATGGACTGCATCTCCACATTCTGTGATCTCATTCCACCAATCCCGTCATGCGCAATGACTATATAGTTTATATAAGGCAACGCATTCCCTGCCTTATCACTAAAATACTGTTTAGACTTAGTTTAAACTTTCAACTTTGGCACATGAATAATTAATTAAAGCTTTCCCTGACCAATGGTTTAATAGTTTTTGCACACGGCAAACTCTTATGAATGAAACTCTGAGGTAGTACTACGATACAGTTATGCAAGTGGCTGTGAATGGTTGCCAATGACAACGTGTTGCACACGGTAAATTCTGATCATTTATAATATGGATTCTACCGGGTTGTTAAAGCTCAAATTAAAACATTCCAGTTTAAATGTCTTTAAATGCATTCTGAAACACAAGTTATCAATTATTTTGATGTAAATAGTGATAATAAATTAATATTTCCTAAGTATCGTCAACTTCCGCCATTAAAAAGGGGGGCGTGGCCAACCCCATGGCGAAATTAGGTTGAGCGAGCTGCATAACCTGCTGCGAACGCGTAGAAACATGGCGTCTCTCGTAAGACACTTATCCAAATGGAACGGAACTCAAATATATATCGAAAGTACTAATTTAATAATAAATAGACACACACATCGGAAAATTAAAAACTCGGATTTTTTGGCGCCGATTGCGAATTCCCATACACAAAAAGTAGTAGTCCACCTTGACTTACCGAAGTATCTACCAATAGTACCAAAATCCGGAATCCGGGAGAAACCGGAATCCGGATCCGGCGGATTTCGCATAAGAAAATCCGGATCCGGTTGGAAAAAACGGATCCGGCACACCCCTAGTTTAGAGCATCGTTAGTCTTTATATAATAATATAATATATATTTATAGGCTGATACTGATACTTAATACCTGAGATAGAAGATTCATTGGCATTGGTTTAAATTTAAGAGTTAAGAGCTGATTAATAATTGCAACCCAACTCCTGAATCCAGATTTTAGCAAAATTAAATAGTGTTTGAACTGTATGTAAATTAAATAACTCACTACCTTTCTTTCCAAACTCTTCAAATGTTAGACCTCCTGCTATAATCCACTTGCAAGAATCAAGATTTTCAAAGTCATCAATTTTTTTATGGGGATCCAGGATATAATCTAAATGATCATTGAGTGGTTTTGTATTATTAGACTTAGCACTTTGTTCCTTAAGATAAATTGCAACCGAACGCTTCTCTCTTTTCATTAACGACAAGTTTGAGCTAGAGCCTCCCACTGCAGTATTTGATCCACTTCCACTTGAATTAAGATTGGTTGAAGAATTTGTCTTTTTTGACGAGGAGTTATCATTTGAATGATTCTCGGAAGCCATATCCAAAGCCTCAGTTGTCAATAATGTACGGCTAAAAGAAATAACAAATTAAGTTGAATCAAGTACTGCATTTCTCAAAATATTGTTTCCTTTTAAATAACAACTCATCAGGTAAGCTTACTATCATATTATTAGGGTTTCTCTCTAAACTTGGTCCCACCTTCAACCGAAACCCTGCAATATCTACAGCAATTTTCGAGATATAAGTTTATGACACGGGGAGGTGGTTTAAAGATCATGTGTGTTGTCACATATTATATATTTTTTATCATACATATAAAACCTGAAATTGACAGTGATGTTAAACCTTCTTTTGTGATAGATGTATTCTGACAAAAGATTTGAATTTTATAAATTTAATAGTAAGTACGTTTTAGATTAAATTTTCATTAGACCTAGTTTTTTTCAATTATTTTTTATTTCGAAGGTGTGGCGTACTTTGGGCGTGGGGGTCTGAAATTGGTGTTAGGCTGTGATGGGGAGGGAGGGGTAAAACTGATTTTTTTTTTTTAAAGCTTGACGTGCTATATGGACGGCCCCTTATCATTGTATTCTATATAGTTAAATCACTTTAAATCACCACCTCATCTTAATTCAAAGCTTAAATTCATATACCATTTTTAAATAATTATGCTCATATTAGCACATTAACAATCAACATCTGAATGATTTCAGCGAATGCGCCCCCCCCCCAACCCCTTTAAAAAAAATCCTTTAAAAAATTCCTTTAAAACTGCCAAACCCAAAAGACAATAACAAAATCTTAATAAATATTAGTGAATACTGGTGGCTTGTATCGTAAAAAAGAATGCTGCAACAAAAAAATCTTAGTTGTTGAAGTCAAATATATTTTAGATGGAAAACTAAGTACGCTGTTATACCACTAACTTATAAATTAGTTGATATAACTCGTTCATCAAATGTGTCTCGAAAGCTTCTGGAATATCTCGATATTAGGTGAAACAGCTAAATTTAGATTTTGCTGTCAACAAAAACATTATGTGTGGTTGGTCTCAATGCCGAAATAAAAAGCAACATTCATATTTTGTATTACGCAGATCTTCCTTTAAGTAAAAAAAAAAAAAATTTAAATCAAATATACCAACTAAGCCAACGATAGTTGCATCTAGATATTAAAAGAAATTTATGTCTTAGTTAATGCAAATATTTTATACGTTTTAGAATTTTAAAATTTAATTTAAAGCCAGTGTAAATAAAGTTTGAGCAAAACTGAAGTTGAAAATAAATTACTTACTAGGATATTATTCTCTTCTACATTTAATATAAAGTTAACTGAAGTTTATAGATTGTTAATATCTCAAATATAGAGTGTTATCTACGATTTCAAAGAAGACCTTTTAAATTGAAAGCGTGTGTCCATAATTTAATATTGCTTAACAATAAGTTACTTAAAAAAGAAAGTGTAAATATTAAAGAAAAAATATTTGTACATAGGTATATATATTGACATTATTATTTTTAAAAAGTTCAATTTTAAAAACTTATAAATGTATTAATTTGTAAAATGTTATAGTTATATCTTTATGTTACTTCTCAGGTAAAGTTATATAGAAAGTTTCGGTCGACTATTAGTATCGCCGGATGTTTCACATTGACTCTTCTTTAGTGTAATAACAAAAAAAGATTTGATAAGGCGCCAGGGAAAGTTTACTTAAATTACATAAATCATACGTTAGCAACTTACAGCTCCATTTATTTAAGTATGGTATAAAAATTGTATTATCTCGAAATATATGTATTGACGAAAAAGGATGGACGTAACCGTACATTTTAAAGAAATTTTAGAGCAGATGCAAAAGAATCTTGAGTGTTCTATTTGGTAGGTCTATTTTATATTATCTATTTTTAGCACTTTCTTATTATTACATTATTTATTTGGTAAATTACGAGGACGACTGCCACAATTTTATCGAATTTCACGAATGTATCCCTAAATCGATCCCTATGCCTAACCTGAACTCTAAATCGATCCCTATGCCTAACATGAACCCTAAATCGATCCCTATGCCTAACCTGAACCCTAAATCGATCCTTATGCCTTATGCCTATGCCTAACCTGAACCCTAAATTTAAATAGGGACCTCGGTATCGACCGGAAATACCCGAAAAACGGGTATCGTATTTTCGTTGTCATTTTGGCGACCTCTACTTTTTAATTTACTGAGGGTATCGTTTCGCGTTTCATAATCGATATTTAGCATAAGGTTATCATAATAATATAATTTTACTTCCGCCAATTACTTAAAGCCGACATCTTTCCTGTTATATTAAGAGTTCGTTTGATTTTTTGGGTCAAGATTAAAGCTTTGAAAATTGAAGTTAAAAATTGGTCAACTTCACTCAAGAATAACTTTTTTTTAAAAATGCGCTCTTAAATAAAAATACTCCGCTCTTTTAGTTTATATGTTCATTTAAAACATATCCAAAATTCATGAGTGTAGACCATGGGTGGGCTTCAAAAACGAATTTCCAAGATGTCATTTTTTTAGGCTATGTAATTTGTCATCATGGCCACCGTGCTTGTCTGCTTATTTCCAATTATCGATAGCAGCCGTGGGGTAATTAATAATTCATTAAGTTGGTTATCCAGAGTGTAAATGGGAAATATAACTAATAATAAATCATTTTATATAAATAAAAAATGTTTTATAACATAAATAATTATTATTGGCTTATTGAATATCAGTGATTTTAATTTTTGGGTTGGTTGCCATGGACCTGGCTGACACTGACATGGGAATGATAAGCTCTTGTCTTTGACTTAGATAGTGATAGGCTTAGTTTAAGTATTATAATAGTATTTATACTATTATAAATGATTTAAGGAGTGGGATAAATAGCTTTTATTACAACTAATATATTTATCATTTATATTAGTTTATATATTTATAGATAAATATTTATTTGTATATATATAATATATATAATGACCATTAGGCATTAGGCTAGAGGCCTTGTATACATATAATATAGTATAATACAAAGTATACTATATCAGGGTTAAGGCCTAGACCCAACCCAACTAATTTGTAGGGCCTATTATAATAAATTATATTTAATGATATTTTAGGATATGTAATAAAATTTTAATGAATATTGTGATTCTTACTTAAGGCATAAACTAAGTAAAACATTTTGAAATATTCACTTACCTTTGGTATTGAAATATCCTATATTTAATCACATATCACAATATTCCACAAGAGAATTATTATATAATCCTCGGTTTCTCAAAGAAAAAACACACTTTCTGGCACTACAATCCAAGAATTACTTAAGATATAATAACCTGTACTTACCTCTAGTAAATGACTAGAACTTATTTTATTAACAGCTAAAGTCAAAGTTGAGTCTAATAATACATGTGGATTTGTAAAACAAGATTACAAACTTAAAATAAATGACATGCTGATTGTTTTGTCATACTCATAGGAATAATATAATATATAGTAAACATATGTAGAAAATGGTAAAATAAAAAGTGTAATTGTCAATTTTAAATAAATAAAACAAATAATCCCTTTATTATTTGTTTATGCTTATAAATGCTAAACAATTCCACAGAAAATCTGCAATTAATATCTAAAGAATATTATTATTATTATGATTGTTGGGAAATTAAAAACAAAATTAAGACAAAATTTTAATTAATTAATTACAAATAAGTGATGATTCAGCATTTTTATACATTTTTAATAGGCAAATAATAAAGTTTTTTTTAAAAATATTTGCGGCACATTAACAAAAACTAATGTATATTTTGTGGCTTTATTTAGAAGTACTCTTATTTAACTATGTTCCCTGTAATTATTATATTTTTGTCTCATTTTATAATAAAGTTATAGGCGTTTAAAAAAAAGCAAAATGAGGGTCACAAATGTGGAGGCGGAGGCAAATCCCATAGTAAAAAAGTGGTTTTGAGGTCCCTACTAAAAAATTCATAACTTTTGAACCACTTGAGCTAGAAAGTTGATCGTTGTGTTTTTGTAATCTATTCTCCAGGCTCTATACAGCTGTAGTATTTTTATATTTTTAAAAATGTTTTAAAATTTTCATCAAAGTGGCTAATTTAAATCTATCCCTCAACCTAACCTAAACCCTAATTCACTGCAACTATACTGTAATAAACACCCAAAAGATGCCGTGGCATTCGTCCTCAGATTTAGCCCATTCATTATTTACTACTAAACTACTACTTACTACTACTTATTAACTAAGTATACTACTACTACTTTACGTTACAATACATATACTAACTACTAAATGTCTAAACTGAAAGACTCAAGACTAGGTAGGCCTAATAACATAAAAACTAACTAATTAATTAACTAATGGCCTAAAATCGCCATCACTATATCATTCACTATATGTATGATTACATTTTGAAATGTAATAGTAATAGGTTAGTATAGTAATAATGTTGATTATGTGATAAGAGAATAAGGCTAATGCAGAGAATTGGTGCCATTAGTATTAGTCATTAGGGATACATTTTGGCTTAAGGTTCACGTTGTGACTGGTGACAATTAGAAAGCTTAAAAATGAATAAAATAGTATACATTATTTTTAAATTTTAAAATATTGCTGGTGACAATGGCATGTTTTTTGTCATAATGGCGAAAAAGCAGGAAATGTCGATTAGATTGTGCATCCCCACAACAACATATTGAGCCCTGGGAAGCGACAATTATTCAATGAGCTCAACTCAACCCACCCAGTCACTTCATATTGATTATTGATAAGATAATATTCTTTTATTAATTCAAATATTTTTTTTAAATCACATTGTACATATTCATTTCAGCACAAATATAATATTTATTCTTACTAAGACATTTTTAAACTAGAGCAATTAAAACTTAAAAAATTTAATTTATGAAAATAAAATAATATGTTATCAAAGTTTTCCCCTTGAGGCCATGGTGACAATGGAGGAGAGTGATGAGAATGCAGCTGGAGCCAAATTGTCTTTTCTGTTTGCACACATCCACATATGTCATACATTCTATTTTTCTTTGGTGATTTCTGAATGGGTCTTTATTATGACCAATGTAATAGTATGAACTAAATATTAGACCTTAACTTCTGTAACTTTAATAGAGCATTATCATAACACTTACAAAACATTATGTAACTTTAGCCTTATTTACAAAACATTATGTAACTTTAGCCTTATTATTTGATGTTCTAATAATAACTTATTCTTTTTTGTCACAGCCTGGAACTTCTAAATAATCCAATATCAACAAAATGTGAACATCAGTTTTGCAGGTAATGATTTATTCATCTTAAATTTGGAATGGAAAGTGTTGGAACTCAGATTAAGTTTGCAAGTCTTAGCCAAAAATTATTTGGAATTTTTTATACATGTTGGAGTGTAAAGAACAATTGTCAAAATTAATACATTTGCTCAACTATAGAGCCACCCCATTGTACAATTATACTTCTTCAATGTAATAAATGGTATGATTAATAGACTAAACCATTTTGAAAAGTGTGATACATATATGAAATACAAGTTTCTATGTTTCATATTACTTTTTTTTTTAACCCATGAACTGTCATAAAGGCTGATAATCAGTTATGGGGGCCACTGTTGTGCTACTGTCTTAATAAAATTAATATCATAAATGAAAATCATAAATTTTAATATTTTTAAAGGGGTAGAGGGAGATCTAGTTTTACTTACTTCCTAATTTACAATGTCAGTCTTAGTGACTTTTTTCTAGATTTTTTCATTGTATAATTTTAGTGACCCTGATGCTGGTCCTCCCAAACTAAGGCCAAATGTTTTTGGTAATATGGGGGAGAGACTGCAATCAGGTTAGGTAAGAGGAAATAAGCAAAACAAATAATGGGAAAACCTGAAAAAAAATGACGCAGCAAAACAATGAATGCATTGGCAAGAAGCCTTCTTCAGCAATCCAACAGCAGTAAAAACAATACAGTATAAAATAAAAAAATACATTTAGTTGCAATATAGTATCCAAGAGGACAGCTAGAGGAATGTGAAATAACATAAGTGGGTGAGAGAGTTAATACAGGCAAAAGGGGACGAAGGAGATAAAAAGTAAGTTCCTGCGATTGGTCCTAACAAGGAGGGGGCAGAGAAATGGTTTAACAAGTGAATGAGTATATTCAACATTTTCTATTAGTTTTGGGTATTTAAGTGTATAATATCAAAATTACTACAGATTTAAAGGGTTCACACCACAGCATGTTTGCACGGGTGACACAGGTATGCTGATGGCTGTGGATTTAACTGTAGACTCTAACTAAAGCAAAAATAGAATGCTGAAGTTAGGTATATCGATACCCTCTCGCGCATACCGTTTGCGCATGACCGAAAACTGACGGAAAACTCTTGTGGCAATATAACAGACGGCTTGGCGAGGCTTTCGTTTTTTTGCTTTTCACGTCACAGTTTTCTAATAATAAATTATTTAGTCATCAGTGACGTAGAGCGCATATTTTTCTGAGCAAGCTGGTACCATTTTACCACATTGTAAACATTGTGACCGGCAACGCGTTTCATTTCATACAGAGGTATGTACTTAATAGCTTATTACTTTTTTGTGTAAATTCGTACAACAAAGTTGTTTACCTGTACCAATGCTGTGATCCTTCCCACAAAATAATAACTTTACTTTGTAATGATAGGTTATTGCAACAAAAAGTTATGAATTTTCAAAAAAAAATTTTTAAATGTGTAAGAAAATTAAAATATATCAGTGGTAACCCCCCTTTAAAAAAAAAATGGGTTATCGGAAAGGGCTATTCTTGTCTTATCAATTAAATATAAACTACAGAGATGTAATGTAATAATATAATAACACAATAATAATGAGCATTGCTTTACTTTATTACTAATAAAATTAATAATATTACTATTATATAATTAATAATATTATTCCAATTTAACCATGTCCTATATTTCTCTATAAAAATATTTTTACCATAATCATCTAACAATGTGGGACCATAATTTAATACTTTTAATTATCAATAAGATAGTTTTATTACTTTAGATCATTAGTAATCTTTGAACGTCGAAATAAATCTAATAAAATTAGTAATTAGTAAAAGTATTATAAAATATTACAGAAACTGATATGATGATTAAAATTATAAAAATTCCATTGATTGATGAAGCTTGTTTTTTTTTTTTTTTTTTTTTTTAAATTTAAAGGCCGAGAATTGTATATTAATAATTAAAATGCAAAATACAATAAAAATAGTTAGTTAAATAGTAATAAATTTAACTAAGTATAAGTAATAAATAAACATTAACATGATATTAGGCTTAGTTAACTTAGTTAAAGACCAGACAAGTCATAAATAAATAAATAAAATATGAAATGTAATTTTAAGAATAATCTTTTTATAGTATAGTATAGTAAAAATGTAGTAATGTAACATTTTGAAAATATTAATTAATAATAATAATTGTTATGATTTATATTATAAATTACGCAAAATTGAAAGTAAAATTATTGCTATATTTTCTTTTGATTTTTTCCCCAGCGAAATCAAGAATGTCTGTAACTGTTACCCTTCAGGATTTTGATCATTTGGTGGCAAGCTTTGCCCAAGATGTAGCCACTGGCATGTATAAGAATGGCTACGGATTCTATTTCTATACCACCTGTGCCAACAAGAAAGAGGGCATGATTGCTGCAGTGTCTGCACTTGATGAGGTCTTTATTAAGAAAGATCTCAACTATGTGTCAAATAAGAATGGAATATGTACTAAGTGTCAAAAATTGTTTACCGATATCTTATCTTTAAAAAAGCATTTCACTCTAAAATGGATGAGAATCCAGGATCTTTTGTTTCAGCCTTTTAGTGCGCCAGTTTCCAAGGAAAAAAGATTGTGCCTTCCAGCTCTTCTGATGCTGCAACTCCATTAACAGATGAAATGTTTCTTCCACAGGTAGCTCAGCAGGAATTAAAGGCTCCACCAACACTTAAGAAGTTGCGCACTGATTGTAATCAATGCCACTCCATAAGGCAAGGGTGTACAGCCTGGTGCCAGTTTTTTTTAAATAAGGTGAAGGTTGTTAAATGTAAATTAAATGCTAAGTCACTTCACAGGTCCCCTGAGATGAAAGTGTGGACTCAGACCATAAAGAGGAAGACGGTAAGGGTTGAGACACTAAAGCGAGAGAAGACAACACTGAAGACCAAGGTGCTGCACTTGGAACGATAACTGGGAGCATCAACAACCAATATGGAGAAGTGCAGTCTTCTGAGCAGAAGGAACCACATACAGGTAAATATTATTAGTATTGGTTTAACCTTTATTGTCAGTAATTTATTTACAAACTTACCATTAACCATGTCCCATGTTGTTGTCTTTTGACTCAATATTTGAATAATTTAATTAATAAAATTTCTATATCTCTTTTCAGGATGTTTTCAGAGTCCCATCAAATAAGTAGTAGCACTGATTTCTTTCTTTATTTCATGTAATTAGTTTATTTTGTGGACCATTGATTTTAAAAAATAATAAAATTTTAATAATTTTTCTTTTCAGGCATTTTCAAGTTCCCTACAGAAAATAAAATAACTATAACTAAAATTTTATTTGATGTTATTACTTGCCAATGGAATAAACCTGCAATTTTTTTGTTTTTAATGAAAAAATTATTAAAATTTAAAAAAATAAAATAAAATTTTACTTTTTTTTTTTTACTTTTTAATAATTTTTCTTTTCAGGTATTTTCAAGTTCCCAACAGAACATAAAATAACTATAATTAAAATTTTATTTGATGTTATTACTTGCCAATGGAATAAACCTGCATTTTTTTTTTCATGTAAAAATTATTAAAATTTAAAAAAAAATATATATTTTTTTTGTTACTTTCCTTGCATAATCATTTTTAAAAATAAATATTTATTTTATAATGGCAAAATTTTGTTGTTCATTGCATTGTATATTGCACTGAGAATATGTACTGAAAATTTGGTATCATTATTTCGAAAAATAAAAAATTTATGTGGAAAAAAGTGGAAAAAAATTAAAAGTGGGTCACAAGTTTTTTTGGCCGCATATATAGCTTATATAGGGGCATAAAAAATTCGACAAAAAAAAACATAACTCCAGTTCTATAAAAGATAGAATGATGAAATTGGTGTTGTTAAAAAGCTTATAGGTAGCCCTTTAAAATGGTGTATTAATCATTACACTCAGACAATATTTAAATTTTGTGTCAAAGTACCTACTGAAGTCAGATGTATTAAACTTTCTGCTACTGTTATCAAAATTTAAACAAAATTGAAACAAGTACAACTGTTGGAAGTTTAGAACATTGTATGTTTCATTATTATATTTATTGTAAATAATTAATTGTATTTATAGTTTTTAAATAACTACTATTTGCAGATTTTGTATTACAAAGTTTCTTCAGAATAAGCGATCAGTTCCATGCCCTTTATGCAAGAAACAAATAACTAAAAGGTGACCAACTACTTTTTAACTTTATAAGCTAAAGCATTCTATACATATCAGGGGCAAGGCTGTAAAAAGAAAAAGCTGAACCCAAGGCAAAGGTTCAGGTTACGTTACCTCTTCTCAAAAAAATTATATATCAATACACATATTTTGCTTGAAAATGATGATTTTTGGCGCCCTCTGTGGCGGCCACCTTCATGTCCCCCTTTTTCGAAAAGCCCTAATTGTAAAAATAGTTGTTGAAAATTAGAATCACAGCCTCTCTTCAATTGCATCCAAACAAGATTATCAAGTAATCGACACTGAATATTTTTTTATTTTTAAAATTTATATTTGGCGGTGGCTGCACTACTAATGATCTACTGCTGGAAAATATGATATAAGATAAATAGTGCTAAAAGATAAAGTCATTTATATCTTTGTAAAATAATCTAAAAAGATTCAGAGTGATATACTTCAAGGACATACTTTATTGAATTAGTTCTCTTTGAGAAAGCTTGGCTTTGTCAACAAGACACAGCAGCCTACAACTAATTTAGTTTCAACTTTAATTAGACAGAATTAAACTTAAACCTACATACAATTCATGAAGCAATTTTCCTTTTGATTTTTATTTAATTGAATGAAATGAAAGGGCTTTCTGGTGTAGTCAGTAATTAATTGTTAAAATTTTACATGTATGACATAAAATAGTGTAGACAGGACGATAAAAATTCTTTGATAGCCCTATAAAATACAATGAGATCCTAATAACATAATTAAATCTTACAAATCAAAGGTTTTAAAAAAGTGTGAATTATCATAATTCGTTTTGCATAATTTTGTATTCATTGTTTTTATTAAGATTTTGTCTTTTTTTTTACTTACAGAGGCTTTCAAGAGAGAAATGATCTGGTTGCTGTTGTTAATAATTTAAAATTGCTCATCGCTGCCTTTGAACAGGACTCTGGGCAAAAATGTAAAGAAAGAATGGTGTTGCTGTTGAATTGTATTCCTTACTAAATTTTTTATTAATGTTGTAGCAAGTAGTCTGACAATTACTTCTCTTTTGGAAAGAGCGAGTCGCTATATAAAAAAACATGAATGGTGTTCATATAATTAGCTCATTGATGCTTATGACAAAACTAAGGCAAATAGGAAGCCTGGAGGCACAGTCCATAAGAATCAGGAGATACAGTCATTAAGCCTCAGGTCAAGAATGCTGAAGATCTAGTGTTAAGATCCCAGAAACAAACATCCCACATATGTGAAGCGCACTAGTCATTCCCCATACGTGAAACAGACTAAGTTGTTCCCCATGTTTGAAATAATACATATTCACAGGGTAAAGAAAAACCTGATGATACCCTATGCATATTTTTAATTGCATTCAACCTGAATGAATTGCATTCAACCTGAATGAATTGCATTCAACCTGAATGCTGTCCTCCCTCTATTACATATAAATAAACAAGCTCACTGGTGCACTCACCAAGCAACCAGAGTTTATACGGGCTGGTCGTGTTGGCATAAAGCTCAGTTTTCCTCATGCATGAACAATGTATTAAATAGATCTAATCCAGAATATTGACTGCTACCTGTCAAAAAAAAAATAGAACAAGAAAAAAAAAGTTTAGGATGTTTTTTCTCATGTTATTTTAGTTTAGATTATCGTTTTATATTCTGGCCTTGAATGCTGCAGGCGTCCTGTTTTAAAACTAATAACATTTTAAAAAAATTTTTATTTATTTACAAATTTTCATAGCTATATAATAAATACCTCTCTTGTATTTTGAGTTTAAAATGTTTGAACTTTTTACAAGTTTAGAAATATAATTTGCTTTTGTCTCATTTTAAAAATATTATTTTCAGGTTCTCCAACTCAAGGTCCACAAAAATGTTACCCTTCTACACCAGATGACCTTAGTGAAAGCGCTTCACGTTGCAATTACCAAAAGGTGATTTTTAAACTTTAAAAATAAAATCTTATCACTGACAATTTCTTTTTTTAAAAATCATTTATTTTTTATTTATTACTTTGTTTGAAAATTATAAATACAATAAATAATTTAAAGCATAATAAATATACTGATTACATATCTTCTTCAAAATGTGAATTTTTTTGTACTTGTATTTTCCACTTCATCAGAATGGAGAATCCACTATCTCTCGGCAGGAAGAAATATCTATAAAAGAATCTTGTCTTAATACGGTGACTAAGGAAATTCCATTAAAAAAATTGGACCATTTAAATGATAGCACAAACAAACAGGACAGAAATGTTCGCCACACAACCAGGTCCCGCAGCGTGAAAGCCAAGACAAATGATGAAGATCCGACTTTAAAAGAAGACGGACACAGAAATCATTCCGCACATGAACTAAAAGAAGATAAGAATACTAAGGGAAATTTTGCCTCCTCTGCCAAGGAAAAAAACAAAGAGGATAATTATGATTTGCTGCAGTATTTAGAAGTTGGGTTGTGTGGAGCCAATAGGGATGGTGGTGAGCAAACAAGAACACTTTCAAAAACTGCACAAATTACTTCAGGAGTGACCAACTATGATCTCCACGCTGATGAAAACACATGCATTAAAAATAGATCAAATAAAAAATCCAAATCAAATCAGTCAATTTCAAATGTAGAGTTGAATAAATCACTTCCTAGTAGAAAATCAAACAGATTGTCATCTGGGAAACCTTCTGACGTAAATACCCATATTGATCCCACTTTAGATGAAAATGTGGCAGAATTACCAACGCAACAGAGTGAAACTCTTACACAACAGAGCTGTCCTTCCTCAAGTGGTTCTAGTTTGTCATCTACCCTTCAACTCTCAAAACCCATGCCTCCCATCTCCTGGACTTACACCAAACGAATGCAGCAAGTGTTTAGAGCTGAAGGACGTGTCAGAAACTGGGTGGACACGTTGCCCAAAACAAATGTCACACTTGAAACTAAACAAGTAGAAATAAAAGCCTTAACAACCAAAGAGAAAATAAATGCCAAAAAGAGAACAAAAAGAAGTCTATGTCTGTCAGGGAATCCGGCAGCTCACAGTATCGATGGAGATGATATTTTGACTGCATTAGATACAGAAACAGGGTTCATTGTTGAGCATCCTGTAAGACTGCTACCAAGAAGAAAGTCTATTTTTAAGAGTCATTTAGAAGATAAACAAGAGAATGAAAAAGTTGTTGAAAAAAATGTTACAATAAACGAGGAAGCTGATCCTTACGAGTTCAGGGGTCTCACACCCTTGGAGACAAGTAAGATTTCTAAGAAAGGCAAGGTATCTAAAATAGTGAACGAAGGGGGCAAGCATTTTCCACTGGATTTAAAGCAGAAGTCAACTTCTGAAGGTGACCAGTCAAAGGAGAAAAAAAGAAAATATGGTTGTATTCAAGAAAAATGTGCTGCATCATCTGAGCGAGAGGATGATGTAACACAATGCCTAACATCTGTGGGAGATGGAAACATGAAAACAAAGAGGAAAATGGTGATCAGCAAGGATATAAATAAGGTTGACATTTTAATAACTGAGACAAATGAGAGCATCAAATCAGATGGAATGGATACTCTAATAGGGGGCATTGAATTAACTGACGATTCTACTCAAGCCGATTCTGTTATGAAAGAGCAGGCTGAAGAAGTAACTCTTCAAAAAAGATTTGGCAGCTCACCTGTAAGTCTGATCAGCAACACAAATGAATGTAAACCAAAAGAGCATTCATTATTTCTACAAGAGAATGATGTTGAGCTTATTGATAACATACAACAGTCTATTTCTGAGGAAAGCCCAGCAACTGTTCAGAAAAAAACACCTTTAGAAGCATCTGGAATTAAAATTACCCCTGTTTTTGATGGCTGTCATGTATCAGAACCATCAAGAGACAAAAATGAACAGAGCTTAAGTCATAACATTATATTTGTTGCAGAAAAAACTTTCCCAATAGGCTCTAGAACCAGACAGTTCTCTAAACCTGCACAGGAACCCATCACAAATAAACCAGGACATCAACTCAGCCCATCTCAAGCAGCAAATGAACCCCAACCAAATAAAAGACCAAAAGTATGTCAGGCTAAGGGAGATGAATCCATTAAGGGGCCAGCAATCTGTGCTAGGACTAGGAAAAGGGCAACAAGGCACAGAAGTAAAACATTGCAGTTCTCTGACTGTGACACTCTGTCCCAGAAATCAAGTAATGAGCTCAACAATCTCATCCATAAAATCAGTCAAGCAGAAGATTATCATTTTATTTTTAGCACCCAAGAAGCAATTCAGAAAATGGAGCAAGTAAAAACACTTGATGCAAAAGACAATCATGGAATAGAAGTAGACACAATTGATAATGACATTGTTGATGCAGTAAACACAATTGATAATGACATTGTTGATGCAGTAAACACAATTGATAATGACATTGGTGATGTTTCTGAAACAAGACCGAGACAATTAACACTTAGTTCTGGACATGTTGCAGAGTTGAAGACTGGGGCACTAAATATGGTCAATGGATCTGAGGCAGAAATCACACCAACTAATTCTTCAAGAAATTATCATAAATCAATTCATTGCGGGGTTGTTGAAGAAACACCATGTGTTGATGAGCTCAGCGACACAACACGACAAATGACTTTTGCAAAAGAATCATACTGCACTGATGCTAATGGTCACCAGGCAGGACTTTCAGAGTCATTTAGAGATAAGAAACTAAACTATTGTCACAGTGCACAAAATGAGAGTATTCAAATCATTGAACCAGAGAACAGTTCAGAGGAAAACACTGACAGGCTTAAACCAATCAAAACTTTGCCGAAGCCCACAAGTAAACAAAGATTCAATCTTTATAAACGCCCAAATTTTGAAAAAATGATTCATGTTTCTCCAGGTCAAACGGGAATGTTGCCCATCACTGGCTCTCCCAGCACATCTGTCCCCAACATGAACACACCCTATGGTACTAGCCAAATGTTGACAGGATCTAAAAGTCTGAATGTCAGAAACAAATTAGTTTTTGTTAATGGGAGCCCCATAATTGAAAAAAATCTGATAAATCCGCCAGTCCCTGAATTCATGGAAGTGGAATCACAACCTACTGAAGATGAAACGGCTTCAAATGCCAAAGATGAATTAAGTCCCTCAAACCTCAACTCTTCTCAAATCCGCAGTGGCCCACCTCCGCCCGCTATTTATTGTAGCAGACCAACAACTATTATTAACAAAAGCATACTCTCTAACAGCTCTGAGACCACCAACAAATCGTTGGATGTAGTTCAGCTTACACTCAAATCTAAGGAGGTGAGCGCACTAGAATCTGATCTAATTCAAATAGAGCCTGATCAGGGATTGACCAGAAAGCATCTTGTACTTGTGCCTGATAGCTGTATTGAGGATTTAAAGAAAAGTGATGCTGATATTTCAATGGCAGAGGCAGAAACAGTTATTTTGGACTCAGTAGACTTAGTAGAGAGCAGTTCCATGGGGAACTCGACAGCAGGTCTTATTTCTGAGAGATCTTTGATTGTACCTGATTCTTGTCTTGAGCATTCTAACAAACCAGAGACTGAGAAATCCAAGACAGATAAAGTTATACTGGAGACAATAGTTGTCATGGAAACAAGTAAACAGAGACTGGAAAGATTTATAGAGAGTACGGGGTTGGCTGGGAGTGAAGACACAAGAAATGTCAGGGCGACCCAAGCATTTGTGTCAGAAACACAGTCTACCGTCAGTCCAGGTGGGGGGCTTATTCAAAATGAGATCAACCAAGAAGCATTTAATCAAAGCATGGTCATCCCAGAGATACAGGGCCAGGAGGAAATGGTTGCAGTGGATGGCACACATTGGTCTGGAGTTGTTCTAGAAAATCTCTCTGGACTCTCATCTCCTAGCCAGTCAGTTTTCAAAATTAAAAATCAAAAAAGGAATTTCAATTGCGAACAAGACACTGTTCAAGACAGTTTAGCTATAAGTGGTTCAGAATCTTCTTGTGTTACCAGTATTTCACGCTCAGAATATTCAGCATCTGGCCTGAAAGCAAAGGCGAACAAAGGCAATTATAACATTATGGGAGAGGAGTCGCGGCAATCCATTTCACACATCCGTACATCAAAAACAAAGCTGATCGATTATTCTGCTTTAGACCACAGCATTTCAAGTAGAAGTAATTCGTCAACTCTCAAGAGGCAATTGCATCATAAAAGTGTTCTTCCGCCATATCATGAACAGTTATCAAATACTAATATTTGCCAAAGTCAAGCAGTGAACAGTGCACCCGCTAAATATGACAGTGATGATGAAGATAGTGTTCTCATTGTACGCAAATCGAAGCGCAAGTGTCATTCCCTAGATAATACACCATTGAAACCAGTTGTATTTTATGAGAAACCGAAAGTGCATGACATCAATGAGGATGTTGCAATTATAGGGGAGACTATTGCTATGGAGGATTTAAATACTACTACAGAGGAACTAATGGATAGAAGTGCACCTCCACATCAAGTTAATAAAAAAGTTAAAGATAAGTTAAATATTCATAAAGAAATTTCAAATTGTATGGAAAATGTTGACAAGAATGGCAATGGGTTGTTGCCCCTTGTTCATAATGCATCTTTACCACAAGATGAAGAACATTCGACTCAAGCTCTAATAGTTAATACCTCTTCAAATGAAGCCAAGAGTATGAGAACTTCTTTCCAGGATGGAGAATCTGGTTTTAAAAATTCTTTGCAAAATAACAAATCTCCTATACTGGATTCAGAAACAAGCTGCCCTAATAACGATAGTGTCAACCCTGACACACCCACATGTAAAAAATTGAAGACCAAACGGGGTTTAGCATCTAAAAATAACGTGCAATATTTAGAAAGTCTACCAAAACATCCTAAAGGTGCACTGACAGCCCTAGAGAAGGCATCTCTTATCAAAGAAATGTCAGAGTCTGTCACAGACCAAGATTCAGATATTGAAATTATTGATGTTGACAAAAATGAAGTTGGTACACATGAGAGTGCTGTCATTGCCATGGAGTCGCCCGCCGTCAATAAAAAATCCAACAAGGCAAGACAAATAAATTCTTCTATGACTTCATTAAAGACCAGGAAACCTGTTGGGGAGGATTTAGAGAAGAAGAAGCTTGAAATGGAACTGTTTGGTTGTGCTACCACTCAGTCACAAGTTAACTCCGCTGCCAACTCTACTCACAGTGTTGATATTTATTCTGAGACAAGGGGTAGAAGAGGTATCCCCGACAGCAACTCCACTCCCGAGGAAGAAGAGGTAGCCATAATCTTTGATCTTGGGGTCAGTTCTTTTGATGAAAAGGATGAGGATAATCCTGATAAAATTGAAGGTGATTCTTCACTTAATGATGGAAAGAAAGAGAAGTCAGTCCAGCAAAAAGCCCCATCACAAGGTCAAGTTTTTTTAAACTGTAGCATTGGCAGTGAGGCTGAAATAGTTGGTAACGACAGTCAACCAGATTCCCTCCCTTTAACCAGCTCTCCACTGGATGGTGAGGTTGATACTGACAGATTAGGAAAGTTTGACCAGGTAAATTGGTACAGACAATCCCACCACTGAATGGTGTTGCTGACATTGGCAGATTAAGGAAAGTTTAACCAATTAAAGTCAGTGGTTCCCAAACATTTTCAATTCTCTGCGCATTTCCTATGTACAGTTGCGCTTTGTCAAATTATTACAAGTACAAGTAACCCTGAGAAATATCAATTTTTAAAAAAAAAATTAAAAAGTTAGGTAAAAATAAATAAAACGTATTAAAGATCACAACATAAAAGTCTGGGCTACTTAGCTCTGAAAGAGGGGGGCAAAATAGCTGGTAGAGGAATAGGGCATCAATTTTAATTTTTAAAAGTTCAAACTATATATATTTTATAAATTTTATGTTTTATAAATTTGTGAGCACGGAGCAGTAAGAAATTTTACCAGCACCCTGCTCTGAGCTCTGCTCTAAATCCCTGGAGTTTAGACTAACTTGCCACTTAATGGAACTTTGTATTGTCATGTAGAGTAAATAATTCAAATTAGTCCGTAATATACATTTAAAATGCATGAGTTGGTATAGTATAAGGATGACAATTTTATGACTGAGAAGTGTGATTTGATATCTACAGTTTTTGTAGTGAGGTCAGTGAACTACGATGTTCAATAAAGTGTAAACTACACAAGGCAGTCAATTAGGTATAATAAGTTGTGTCAATAAATGCTTGAAGGATGGTAAATTAATGTATTTCAATGTATTTATTATAATTTCTCGAAACTAACTTTTTTTCCTCTGAAAAGTCTGAAATAGAAGCAAAAGATGATGTGAATGATGAAATATCCAATGTCACAGATGATGATGATGACTGTAGTAGGATTAAAAAACGAAGTAAAAGACAACAAATTTCCAGTGACAGTGAGGTTTCAATGGAAGGTCAGAAGACACCTTTAAAAAAATATTTGTGATGAGTGGTTTTAAAAATATAATTTATTATCACTATCAGTGATCAATGATTTTAAAAAAATATTTATTGTGAACATTAATTTTTTTAAAAATATTTATTATTGTCAATGATTTTAACAAAAATTTTCAGTGATCAATTATTTAAAAAAATATTTATTGTTATCATTATTACTGTGGTCTTATATAGCTCGGTACCCCAGCCTAGGTTTGTACAAAAAAATATTAGCAAACATAATCATGACATTAAAAAATAACATACATTTATTTAATTGAAAAACAGCTGTATAAAAACAAAAACAAAAATGTATATTCACACCACCCACCTGAGAACTTTTACATGTCAGGTCATGGACGGCACCCAGCAGCATCGTTAATCAGTCAAAGGGGGGAATCGGTCGTGACAATAGAGTTTAAAGCAGATCTGTTTACCCTCAAACTCTTAAAATCGTACAATATCATCAAAAAATCATTCAAAACATTATCTTAATAGTAAAAAAATAATAATAAATTATATATAATGTATACACCTCAAAATCGTACATTGTACGCCAAAATCGTAAGAGTAAACAGGTCTGGTTTAAAGAGATGTGTTTTAAGTGAAGTTTTGAAGGCCTGGATTGTCGGTATATTGGGGAAGTGTAATGGGAGAGAATTCCAATATCAGTAATCAATGATTAAATTATCCTGTTTTTTAATTATACAACAGTATAAATTTGTCCAAATAAATTATGCATCAAATTTAAGTTTTTACATTTTATTTGAATGATCCAGGACAGAATGAACCCAATGGTACCTCTTCCAGTGTTATTTCTTCACAAAGTGAAACATTGACAACACAGGTAATAAAATTTATATATTTAAAAAAAAATTCAATGTATCGTATACTAAATTGACATTGTCACAACTAATACAGGTTTCCATTAACGTTCCATTCATAAGACAATATTCTACGTGATTAGTAGTCTTGACCTGAGCTGACTTGGTTAGTAGTCTTGACTTGAGCTGACTTGATTAGTAGCAGACCTGTTTACTCTTACGATTTTGGCGTACAATGTACGATTTTTAGATGTCTTTTACAATTGTAGGCCGAGACCCGCCAAAACTACGATTTTCAGAGACCCGGTGAAAAAATATTTGTGTAATTGTGTCCGATTTAAAAAAAAATGTAAAATGTTCGGTTGTGGAAGCTTTAGCCCTTATGGCCCCGTATTGAATGGACCCAGAAAAACTATGGGTTTTTGTCTATTTTTTTATAGTTGGGACCATCCTTCATTATATTATGTACGCACTGAAAGGGGAGGTGGCGGTTGTTGATTAAAGAGATTGGTGGCATAGCAGAAACACGGGTAGGTGGGGGGGGGGGGGGGGGGAGGGGGAAGGTTCAAAAGATATCAAAAAATCACCGCAACGCATCCTAGTGATGGTGTTGATTGTCTTTGTGTTGCTTTGCGTGTCACAGTGAACCAGCTAGCTGTGTCAGCAGCAATCTTTAGGCTAGTCGCCTGGCAACAACTTCACTCGCCACCTCTCTTGGACTGCTACTGCTAGCAAGCGTGCGTTCGTCTGAATCGCGGCGATTGTGAAGAGAGAAAACTAGAGGTGTAAGATTTAGTCAGTGGCATTAAAAAAAAATATTTTAGAATTCGCAGAGCAGCTCTATCCAGAGGCGTAGCGAGGAGGGCAGGGGGACGGATTCCCCGGGCGCCAGCTAGTTAGGGGCATGTTTCTTTCAGAAATTTTCCACCGCGGGAGCATTTCAGATTTTCGGGGAAGGGGCACTTCAGATTTTCCGGGGGGGGGGGGGGGCAGTGCCAGCAGTTCCAGTTGATTTATTGTTGGACATATTTTTGCTCCTGGGGGCACTGCGCCCCCCCCCAGATATAGCTGAAAGAAATCCTGGTTAGGGGCGCCAAAATATGCCTTGATATTATTGGGCTTGAGAGTTGATAAAAAGAAAAACGGGCACTTTAAAATGGATCTTGTCCCCGGGCGCCAACCCCCCTCGCTACGTGTCTGACTCTATCCCCTCAACGATTTTAATACAATAAAACAGTTTTGTATAACTACTGCTACTACTGCCCCCCCCCCCCCCCCCCTTTTTTTATTTTTTTTATTACAGCTTGTGTGGTAGTTAATAGTCTGATACTATAACAGTGGTCGGCAAGCCGCGGCTCGTCCAGACTGCGGCTCGGCCAGTCAACTACAAATTGGTTTTTACTCCGAAAAACATGGTCCTTGACTTGACAGGTTCTTGAAAATAAATTTGCCTCGCAAAATTTGTTTAATGGCCCTGCTGCTGATTTTGGTTCTTTTGACCAATGAGTTGGCTGATCACTGCTCTATAGAATGTGAACGTAAAAACTCAGGGGCATATTGGACAGGCGAGGGCTCTATGTTTTTCCTATTAATGAGGGTGGGGGAAGGTGGTTTCGTCACCAGCACGGAAATACGTGTTAGTTCTTAGTGGACTAGTGTGTTGTCACTATGTCGTGTTCAATATGTCTACTACAGCGACCTCTTTATGAAAACACAAAGCAATAGTATACGGTATACGATAAATGCGAAGCATTGTGGTGATATTTGTATAGCCTTAATAATAATAATAGACCTAATTAGAATTTGTGGATTTCACAGATTTTCACGTGACAGTTGGCTCTATAAGACTGTCAGGAATCAGGATAATTATTGTAGAATTTATGCATACATGTAGGTGCATTCTGGTGCCCCCCCCCCCCCCCCCCCCCAACCCAATCAAAACTCATACGCATCCTCAGCGAGTAAGTCATATTTGGATGGCCCTTTAAGTTGACAAAGCGTGCGGCTGGGGGGCGAGGTATGAATCAGTGTTAACTTTTTCATTTTTATTTTAAATGTTTTATATGGGCTGTCCAAACAGCTCTGGCGCTAGAATTTGGCTGCATTGACGTATGTGCACATTGTGTGATTTTATTGTTACCATTATCATTAATGGAATCGGCCATCATTCTTGTTTTCTGTACCGTAGTTGACCTCACTTAGTATTTTACGATATGACCTCGACAAAAAGAAAGGCTCGCGAGATGGATGATGAAGAAGAAACTTCTCTCTCTACCGATAAACATCCGATTCAACAACAGAAAAAGGTAGTTTATCAGCAGATAGTTTTGCTTGAATATCAGACAAAATTTACTGAGTTGCATTCTTCGTCGAATGGTCCATCATGCACAATTACACAATCTGCAAGTCGGACTTTTCATGAACAATCAATCAGGGACGAAAGGAGTGGTGTTGATTTAGGAAAGTTTGGGTTTACGTGAGTCTAAATACTTAAATCTATACAATCAACACCGCGAAATTTCCGTAATGACAGGTTTTGGAGGGGGGGGGGGGGCTGTTCCTCGGCAGAAAGAACGTACGTTATTTAAAAAGTCTACAATATTCATCTCCTAACTCTGAAAGTCCAAAAATAGCATTCCATTAATATCTCGAATGCTGTAAAATGCCATAACACGGGGAAATTTCCTGAATGCCAGGTTTGGGAGGGGGGGGGGGCTGTTCCTCGGCAGAAAGAACGTACGTTATTTAAAAAGTCTACAATATTCATCTCCTAACTCTGAAAGTCCAAAAATAGCATTCCATTTATATCTCGAATGCTGTAAAATGCCACCCGATGTTTTGTAGGAATTATTGTGGTGATGTTGTCAAGATGTATTGTCACCAAGAAACTCGCTAGCAGTAGTAGAGAAGTTACAGTTGTGTTTAGTCATGAGGGTTCAGCGCGCGTGTGACGCATATTTCGTTGGGCTACGCCAGTGGTTCTTATAATTTTGTTTCCCGGCGCATATGCCATTTTAGGTTTTCGCCAGGTTTCCTGGATAAAATTCTTACAAGTACACTTCGAAATAGGGAATACACAAATAAAATAAAGGGTGGGATAAAAATAAATACATCGTTTATGTAGGTCACAAACATGCAGGTCACAAACATGGAGGTATCTATAGCAGATGCAGGTCTTCAAAATGAAGTGACCGCAGTTTGCAGTTAACGTCAGTCGAATACTGATGATTACCTTCAGTTCCATTTTTTGACAAACCGCTGAACTCAATGCCACTGACACATGCTATACCAGTAGTTACTGTATACATTATATATTATATATACTGGATATTTATTTACTTACAATTAAGATACTGTATTGTACGATTTTGAGACGATATTGTACGATTTTAGGAGTTTGAGGGTAAACAGGTCTGTAGTAGTCTTGATTTGAGCTATATTTTGTTCAAAGTGAGGGAGAGTCAGCCTCACTCTCTTGTCCTTGCCTATTTGATCCAATGGCAAGACTTAGTCTGAAATAGAAAAGTATGCAGTAAATGACTAACAGTGGTTTTTGTGTGTTTCACTGTGCTCTTTATTTGTTCCACCTTGCAGGAGTTGTCGGAATTTGCATTTGACTCCTGGTTTGATTTCAGTTTGCCTTCTCTTAGATGAGTTGCCATCCAAAGTCCCATCTACTCGGGGTGCTGGTGATGTTTTTACTTGTCTAGGCTTTTGCTGGGTATTAAACTCCAATCCACTAGCTTGGGATTGGCTCAGTTGAGACCGCTCAGCAAACCAGCACCCCCAAAACAACTACTATCCAGCTACCAGCAACACTCGTGCATATTTTTCATCTGGGGATTGACTCGGATTAGACCGCTCCGCTACCCAGCACCTTAGGGTCTACAACATTACTCTTCTCATAAACAAAATGCCATCAACTGTACCACTGTATCCATATCTTCTTTATTCACTCAAAGGCAGATCTAATTTGCTAACTTGAGGAACACTACACTACTGGCTCTCATCAAGACTGTCAAAATTTGAGGATCAATACTCTGATAACTCTAATATTAACTCTGGGCAACTCTAAACACCAGTTTCTATTGGGACTGGATAATGAGAACTCTCAACATGACACCACAAGCTCTCTCAACACATCGTCTCGTGGTCACATACCATATATACACATCACATGTTTATTATTATTACCCTTTTGACCAATAATATTTGGACAAAAAATTATGACTAAGACTCACTAAAATGTATAATTGATTTCCTGACAGCAACAATTGGCGTTGGAAGGTGACCTTGAGAAACTACATCAAGAAATTGCCAAATATGAAGCTGAGCTGGGAAAACAGTCTCTGGAAAACTTGTCTCTTGATCCTAAAAGTGAAGAAGACGAAATTTCAAGTAATTTTCTCTATCCTCGCTTGTTTTTTTTTTTATAGAGATACTTATTGTATAAACTTTTGAATATATACTCAGCTATTGCTGTATATACCCCACCTAGCAGAGTACAAATTATCTCAAGTTGCTATTAATTAGTTTAATTTTTCTAAACAAAAGTAAAGCTGTCAAGAAATCGAATTGGTGAAACAAGTGACACTTAATACTCTCATACGTGCAAATTTCATATTATTTTGATGTGCTGATTTACAATAATTCTCAAAATGATTAAAGCAGAAATTTGTTCCTGTTTAAGATAACTTTTCTGTTGGTTTTTTTTTCATCTTTTCTTTACACCCATGAAGTTTAAGATAAACTTCCTCTATTATCATACTTAGACCGTGACACAATTATTTCATTATATTTATTTTGTTAAATTTAATTTAAGGTCATATTCCTTAACTGTTAAGAATTAAGTTTAAATAATTATGTGATTAAAATGTGGGAGGTATTTTGCATCCTAAAAGAATCAAATCAACATAAAATCAGCTAAATATAAAAAATGTATGCTGAATGCAGACTCCAATAATGGGGATCAACTTAACAATTTATTTTACACTCAAGTATAATAGCAAATGAAGCCCGCTTTTGATCATTTAAAGGATATCTCTAGCCAAAATTATTACAATCAGTTGACAGCATTGGTTAATACGACCTTAGATTCAGTTAATAATTTTTCAATTGTAAATTGAAGAAAGTTTAATTATTCCGAGTCAGAATTCTAGAACATTTTTTACTAACATTCTCGGACAAAAATATTTAGTCAGCCTCTACTCTGCTATAAATGTTTGGTTGCGTTAATCTGTAGTTTTATTTATAAGAATTGCATACAAATTTTTACAATTCTAACACTTTTATACATTTCTATTACCCAACAGTTTTAAGTTTGAGGAAGAAAAATCCAGATATTTTTGTAGTTGATGATAGTCCAGTGGCCAACAGTAAGGATGAGGAAGATAGCAATGATCTCTTTATTAGTCCTGAGCCAGTACCCTCCCCAGAGCCACACAAAAAACCATTCAGAGCCATGGTACAAAAATCTGCTCCATCACAGTCCAGCATTACAGAGCATATCATGAAGCAGTTTCAGTCGCCTGGAGGAAGTGTGCGTACAAAGAAACATTTGGAGTTTCTCCCCTCTGTCAGACCTGGATTCAATAAAACTAATGAAGCAAACCAGTCAAAGCCAAACAATTTCAAAGCTCATTCAAAATCAGTGGCAATGTCACATAAAAAATCAGAAGAAGAAACAGCTGTTCAAAATTTTGAAACAAAAAGTTTTAGCCACAATGCCAGGCCTGGAAGTCCTATTATTCCATCTCAGAAGAGCAATCGGGTGCAGATGTCAAGTATTGTTGAAAATAGATGCTCACTAAATACTGCTGAATCGAAAAAAATTTGTATGGTAGCTTCAGGATTTGGTCGGGAAGAAAACGTAAGTAATGCTTTGTCGTGTTTTATTTTTCAGGAAGTGAAGAAATGAATAATTAAAATGTGGGTCATATTGCTTCTCTTAAGTAATAGATAAATATCTTGTAGGGTTGTTACATAAATTTTAACCCTTGTTCATGGTTTATTATTATTTTTATTTTTGTTTATTTTTTAAATGAATATCCAACAATAAGCAAATCTTAAAATATTTAAATTAATTTAATTCTCCTCTTTTCAGCTAATCAGCCTTAAATTCTGTGAGAAATTTGGTGCAACTTTAGTTCCTACATTTACTAAAGATGTAACTCATGTAATCATGAAACCAGGTACACATTTTGTGCACAGTTTTAATTCATTACATTATATAGACAAATGTATTATGTGTTTCTCTTGATTTTATTTGAGATTGTTCAATGATTGATGGTTATTAATTTCTCTTCTGCCTTTTAGCCTGTGGGCATGAATTGGTTTGTGACAGAACCCTCAAATTTTTCCAGGGTTTGGCCCATAAATGTTGGGTATTGTCCTATTCATGGCTAGCTCAATCCCTGCAGGCAGGAAAATTGATGTCGGAGGTAAGTTATAATGGAAAATATTCACAGAATACCATTCATTTCTTATAGTTTTAACTTTAGCTAACGGTTAGTAATAGGCCCCTATTTATATTTTGTAATATTTTACCTAAAATTTTATATCTTATTATGTTATTACGGTATTAAGATTTTGTGAATGATAGATAGTAAGCAAGGTCAAAAGTTATAGTTTGGTAATCTTTGGAATTTTAAGTTTATTGACAGGTCCTCTAATGTAGCCCTGCCCTAGGTCAGAGGTCAATAAGAGACAACTCTGTTTTTTACTAATCTTTAATGACATTTGACTAATAATATTTCTAAACAGATACAATTTATAAAAAATTTTCTCCTCACTCAAAAAATGTTGGCAAGGTCTGGCCTAACAATAAAAATTGCTCCAAGGTTCAAGTGTCAACTCACTTTCTTTTTATGTAAATAATAATTATCTCTGGAGCCTACTGGAAATTATTACTGCTTTTTCTTTACAGATAGACTATGAAATAGAGGGAGACACTTCAGGTGGGGAAAGCACCAATGGGGCCAAACACGCTAGACTTTCTCAGGACCATCTATTCTCTGATTTTTGCTTTGCTTGTGTTGGCAACAGTGATGAAATGCCTAAAAGTAGGATTACATTTCTAATTTGATAAAACCGATAAGATATTGTAAAACTTTACCTTTTTAAAAGTTGTAGGAAAAGATATAAACCTTTCTGGGATTATATCGAAAAGCAAAATCAAGTTTCAGGGTAAATATTTAAGGGAATTTCATATTAGATGAGGCCTAAGACAAGGAGGCTCACTTTCTTGTATACTATTTAAACTAACATTAGAGATTTATAAGAAGCATACATATTGACACGAGGAACAATCATAGGAGACACTCTGAGAGAAATTTAAAAACCACAACCAATAGCAATCTCTACAACTTCAGTATCTTGCATGTCGATGACATAGCACTGTTGGGGAAAAGTAGCAAAGACAAATCAAAAGCTTTTACTGAATTAGAAGATGCATCACTACAAGCCCGGATGGAAGTTAACCAAAAAACAAAATACATGACTATGAAATTGTAATCACTAGTAAAACTTGGATCCTAAAAAAAAACAGCAAAAAGCACATGGGAGGAGAAAGTTTTCTGGAAAATATAAGAATCAATAAAGGATGACTATGGATGGAGAATATGAACCAACAAGGAATTGTATGGACTCTACCAGAATCTCATGCCAGTACCCGGTAGCAGAAATCAAAAAGGACAGGCTGTGCTGGGCAAACGCTTAGAAAGAATCCGAAGTGACAGAGGGTGCACCACCAAACCCCCTGAGGAAAATGGCTCAAAGGCAGATCTGGGGCTAAGATGGATGGATGATGTGGGAAAAGTTCTACAGCGTCTGGGAATCGAAGCATGGAAAGTAAAAGCATCTGAGTGGAAGGCGGTGGTGAGGTAGTCCAAAACCCTAAAAACGCCACAGGGATGGATGGGATGAATTGGCCATAAAGAACAGAGAATATGCCCAACAAAACTCAAGAGACAAACCCAACTGCTGCAAACAGTTCAGACAAATTCAGCCAAAGGAAATAGAGCTATAATGAAAGCCAAGGAAAACAAATGGGTACAAAAAAGAGCATAACAAGACTTATGAAAGATGTAATTGCAATCCAAGACCTTCTTACTCAGAAAACAAAAAGATAGGGGATGACAGTAAGACATTTTAATATCCATCAACAAATCAAATAATTAGTTTGACAGTGACCAATCCTATATAGATGATCTGAAATCTAAAGAGAGAGCTCACCAGGCCCAGATTATATCCATAATGAGATGCTGGTAAATTAGGACCTTATCACTACAAGGTAGCCAAACAGAACACTACACTACACTATTGCTAAAAGGTAGCTTAACAGAACATTACACTATTGCTACAAGTTACAAGGTAGCAAAACAGAACATTGAACTATCACTAAAAGGTAGCCAATCAGAATATTGCATGCACATCACTACAAGCCACACAACTACTCAAAGCAGACCACCAAACATATCAAGATCACAATACGCCAGTTGTACAAAGGATATGCATGATAAGGGATGGATTATAGATTTGTGATAGTCAATTTGCAGCATGTCAGTACGAGACTAGGGAAAATACCAAACAAAGCAGTCTATTTATCTCAGGAGCCTTGATATCAACTCCAACAGCAGTTTGTGAAATACTAATATTGAGTCACTAAATCTAAGGAGAGAGACAGCAGTTAACCAGATAGTTGAAAGGTACAAGCAACACCCAAAATATAAAAATAGTTGACAAATGGAGACAAAACTATTGACAAAAATAATCAACTCTAAATGTGGTGTCTCAAATTGAAGAGAAATACCACCTATAAACAAACAGAAAATGTACAATTATCTAAAGGCTTATTTACAAACCACTTTTATCAAGACAGATCTAATAAAAAAGATATAAAAGTATGGACGCGTTACAATTAATGATAGCTGCAAAAATTCCCTCTAAACCACTCTTACCGTAAAGTACTTGGGTGTTACCATTCAAAGAGAGGTCCGCTGGGACGAGCACATTAACAGTGTGTGCAACCGGGCAAACAAGACCCTGGGGTTCCTAAGGCGCAATCTGAAGATCGGAAACTCAAGCGTGAAAGAAAAAGCCTTTGTCCGACCTATTTTAGATTACGCTTCTACAGTCTGGGACCCATTTACCCAGAAAAGCATCGACAGGTTGGAGGCGGCCCAGAGACGGGCAGCACGCTTTGTCATGAACCGCTACAGAAACACCTCAAGTGTTGGCAGCATGCTTGAAACACTGGGCTGGTCTACATTGGAAGAACGACGACTATCCAGGCTCACCATGTACAAGATAAAAAATGGTCCACTGCTCCAGAATCAAACAGAAACTCGTTCATCTTCCCCCTAGACTGCGACGAAGCCACGACAGACAGTTCTGGCTGGTAAAAACAAGAACAAAGTACAGGAGCTCCTCATTCCTGCCGAAGACAGTAGGGGACTGGAACAAGCTTCCAAAAGCAACAGTTGAGGCGGCTACACTCGACACATTTGTGTCTATTGCCTCCTGTATTCCAACCCCCAGTTCATAACACCACTGCTGAGTCGCCCTTGCAACCAGTGAAGCATCCCATTGAAACCCATGGACAGTAACTTCGCAAACCCCTCTGAAACAGGAGCCAGAATGATCAATTCATTGATCGTGGGCCCTCAAAATAAAGAAGAAGAAGAATTCCCATTGCATCCCACCCAGAGGATGTCCATACAAAAATACCCAGACTGATCATGTGGTGAACTTTGCAACTCCTGTAGCGCCATGCACAGTTATTATGATGCAGAAGGACGGCTCTTGCAGCAGTGCTTCACCAGTTGTTTGCAATTTTTAAACCTTTCCCCAGCAAAAAAAGAAATGTAGTCATCTTCTCCAATAGCAAATCAATACTTCAGATAGCCGAGCATCAAGATCTCACAATAAAATCATCACTTCTGAAAAAAAATCACCTTACTCGAAACCTATGCAGTCAGGCTAACCTTACAAACAATGGATACCAGGACAGCGCCATATATGAGGAAATGAAAGAGCAAACTAGCAAAACAAGGAGCATCCAATATACAAGGAGCATCCAAACATACCTACATCACTCAACTCTGTGAAGCAGATCAGAAGAAAGAAGAGTGGTTTAATGGATGGGCTAAACAGGAAGATGTGTGTTCTCATGCATACCAAGACCATAAAGATTAAGATATTGCCTTCAATTACATACAGGACAGGTCATAATCTTTCTCATGCACCAGGACACATACAACTTAGTGGTGTAAAAACCAAATAAACACCAATCTGCCCCCTCTGCAGACATACAAATGAACCAGTGACACATCAGCGCTTTCACTTCAGGACTTACGCCTGAACTATCTGTAACTAACTATAAACAATACCAGACCAGACATGCACCCTATTCCAGTACACAGGTACTAACAACAATTTGCAGTGTGTGCAAATTCCTTACCGCAACCTTGGGCTCAAAGGTACATGCCCTAATGACTACTGAATCTGAATGAAGGTTAAAACTTTTTAAAACCATTATAACTGAATCTAGAATCTTTTTATTAATTTATATGGAACTAGATACTTGTATATAGAGTTCTTCAAATAAAGAAAACAGATATAAATACCCTCATACCTATCTGGATAATGGCGAAAAGAGGAGGTTTCCTGAAAACCTCATTAGTGACAGGGTCTGCCATAAGAAAGGAGCGGTTTTTCAGAACCAGAAAACGAGCTTTAAGGTTATGGGGATGAAAAGTTAAAATAAATTTAGACCTATCCCTAGCGTCAGAATGAGTAGCTTTAAAAGAATCCTGTCTAGTCATACCTTTAACTCGAGTGACAGCTGCTTTTAAAATTTGCTCAGGATATAAGATAATATAACCTGCATCGGAAAAAATCCAACATTTCAGCCGTCCTTTCCCAAAAATCCTCATCATTACTACAGAGTCTTCTCAGTCTCAGCTATTGAGAAAAAGGGATTTTCAGAAAACCTCCTCTTTTCGCTTTCTGGAGGGACAAGAGCTTTAGGGACAAGCTAGTTAGAAGCCACCTTCCTGCTATTAAAGCACATAAAGGCACCAAAAGTTGCAAATGTAGCCGTTGTAACACATGTCCCTACGTGAATGAACTTGATAAGA